TGCTCTTTGTGCGATTTGGTGTTGAAACTCTTATGCTCTTCGAGTAAAAGTATTCAATACTTTAAATAATAACTCAGCATCTACAAGTATGAGCTAGATGATGATGTACAAATAAAAATTTTCTCCCAAGAAATATGTCCTATAAGTATTGCTCTATGATTCTAACTTATACCTCTACATGCCTCTCTGCATCTCTCTGTGTACATGTGTATGTTTTGTGAACCCTAGATAGATTTATATAATGAAACCAGTAACTTACATTGAGAAAATGAAGAATAAGATATGAGAAGCTCCATCAATGGTTTTCATAAAATCAATGTCTGGCCTTTTGTTGCAGCGGTAGGTAGGAGAAAGGACACTATTTTCCAACAGTGCTAGTGACTAATATGTGATTTATGTTCTTTTCTAATCATTTTAGTACACAATAAACATGGTTTAACCAACAATACTATCTTTTACTGTGGGGTTATAGCTTTTACTGCTACAATTATCTTTTTGGCCTTAGTTTGATTGGTTTTGGGAATTTGGTATTCATTCATAGAAAACATTCCCCGCCTCATTGCATTTTTAAACAATGTAGAAAATATTACGTTTTAGAACCCAATTTGATCAATTGTCTAACATCATACCTCAATATATATAGATATATATATTTGATATGTATATACCTCATTATATATGTATAAAAAAGAAAAACAATATTAAAAAACCAGCTATGAGATGTTTTCAAACACATAATACAAAGTAACATGAGAAACTTTTTTTATCCAATAAATATACCATCAATAGACATAGCAGAATACAAATTATTTGAATCTGATAAGCTAATTTGGCTTTATTTTAAGTATTCCACTGCATCATGCATAAATCATCATCCATCAAGAATTCCAAGAGGTATAACCGTATCGGCTGCAATTTGGCGAAACACTCAGCCTTACCTTTCAAAAATTGTGAGACACAACATTTGGCTCCTTTTGATCTTATTCACTCTGAGGGGACCCTCTTGTGTATCCACTATGGGTGGTGCTTCTTATTATGTCTGATGACATCAAAAATAAAAATTTGTTCTCAAGAAATATGTCCTATAAGTATTGCTCTATGATTCCAACTTATACCTCTACATGCCTTTATATCTCTCTATGTACATGTGTATGTTTTGAGAACCCTAGATGGGTTTATACAATGAAACCATGAGGTCAGTGTCCTCACAATATACAGCTCTATCAACTGACAACAGAGATCATACGGTTTCTTATTACAAGTTCAAAAACTCCCCTCTACCCATTCAAAGTTTGAAGACATCCCTATCATCAATAGACAGATTAAATTCCCAAAAGAGCTCTCATCACTCACCAGTGAATCTGATTTTAATATGTTACCATTGATAGTACAAGTGTAAATCATTAATCATGTAAAACTTGCACTCATCATGTGTTCTGCAAATGCTTCAAAAACCAAACGTTACATAAGCAACATGTGGGCATGGGATCTGTATCACCTGTGTTAATAAAAATGATTTGTTTACTGACCTGAAATAATCCTTTTAACTACTAATTCTTGTCAATATACACGTACTTGGTGGGAAACAACTATAGCCATGAGTTCACATGCGCACGCGCGCACGAGAGAGAGAGAGAGAGAGAGAGAGAGAGACACTGGAACACTACATATAAGAACTGCATTCTTTCAAATTTCAAATCTTACCAAGCTGATATTCATATTGGCATAGGCATTAGCATCCCACTTTAATATTTTCTGCATAAAAAAAATTCAAATGATTAAGTAAAATCGTCTGTGATCTATTAAAAAGGAAGCAAAAAGAATAGGGAAAGCTGACAGATTGATCAAATCAGCAATAAAATGTTCGTCACTTTTTGCATCCAAGGAAATCTTAATATGCTACATCAACCTCAGTAGTCCACTATTACAATGGCAAAGAATCATTCTCAAAAAGGCGAAAAAACCCTCTTTTTCATTTTTATGTGAGTAAGGGATGATGTCATGATAACAATAAAGAATGAATATGTGCCAATATCAATGTCATGAAAAGAAGATGGAACTTAAAAGGCAGAAGCTGGAAACACTTGTGACATTTACTCACTGAGCTACTAGATTTGCTTTTTCCATAGACTACTTAGAAAATTAGAAAAAGGCTTAATACCATAAACCATGAACATCACCAATTAACTTTTCCCTGAAACCAAAAACTTGGTTTATGCAGTAACATGATGTTAGAATACTTCCACATGTTTTTCCCTCCTCACCTGAGTGGTCACAGGGAAATTTGTATTATTGTTTCATATAAAAGAAAGATATCACCGAGCCCAAAAGCAACTCATCATACTTACAAGTCAAATTTCTTCTTCACATTCCCCCATAGAGACCCGTACCACAGACAATTTATGAGATGTTCAGTTGCTACAAGGTAATTGGCCATCTTCAGACTGCCAAAAGGAAATGGACGATTTAGAGGTCAGGGAAAAAAAAAAGTTGTCATTTTTCTGTAATTTTCTTTCAGGAATAATTTATGGTCTATTCAGTCTGTGTTTTTTAAGAAAATTGTTGTTTTAGTCACCTTAACAATTGTTGGGTAGTTACAGACTAGAAAAACAATAACGATCTTTTGATTTCCTTGTGTGGGTCTGAGGACTGATGATGCAAGGAATCACTCCAATTATGAAGTGGCCTCAAGGAAGTAAAGGCCAAGGTGGATGTCTGAGCTGTCACAAAGGACCCTAGAAGGGAAGTCAAAGGAGAGAGGCAGATTTCAAGTAATTTCCCATGGAGCAATAACTATATATCTAGGCTTCTCTCCTTCAGCAGTTAGGCCATTAAAGGATTCTTCACTTCCCTTTGTCCTCCATATGCCCCTTTTTAATTGAGCTCTATACTCTTTTTATATTGCCTCAGTTGTGGACAAAGACCATGGTACAAAAGGATTTGCATAGGTTATTCTACTACAGCCACAGGTCACTTTTAAGGGAAAGATTGGACATCATTTAGAGGCTCAAGTCAATTTCAGTAGTCTATCCGATATGGGGATGAGATGTGTGATGACCTTGTGGGCGGGTGCAAGACACTGTCAGGCTACCACACTGGCGAGCTACGGGTGCACAGTCCCACATCACCTGGGTAGAGGAAAGGTGAAGTGCTTATATGTAAGTATGTCATCTCCAATTGGTATAAGGCCTTTTGGGGTAAAGCCCAAGAGCAAAACCGTGCGGGCTCAGGCCCAAAGCGGACAATATCATACCATGTAGTGGAGTGGGTCATTACAAATGGTATCAGAGCCTGACCCAGCCGAAAATGTGCCGACGGGGACGTCAGGCCTCCAAGGGGGGTGGATTGTGATGACCTTGTGGGCGGGTGTGCCATGGGCGGGTGCGAGACACTATCAGGCTACCACACAAGCGAGCTACAGGTGCACAGTCCCACATCGCCTGGGTAGAGAAAAGGTAAAGTGCTTATATGTAAGTGTGTCATCTCCAATTGGTATGAGGCCTTTTGGAGTAAAGCCCAAGAGCAAAACCGTGCGGGCTTAGGCCCAAAGCGGACAATATCATACCATGTGGTGGAGTGGGTTGTTACAAATTTTTTTTAAAAGGGGTGCAGCACGAGGACTTCCCAAGGGGCCACCCATCCTAGTACTACTCTCGCCTAAGCACGCTTAACTGCGGAGTTCTAATTGGATCCAGTGCATCAGATGGCTTATAGATTGTCTTTACCTCCTAGTTTAGCAGCGGTACATGATGTGTTCCATGTGTCGATGTTGAGGAAATGTTTACGAGATGATACACAGGCTATTGAGTGCCAAACTGTGGAAATGTGACCTGATACTTCATATGTAGAAGTTCCAAAGCGTATTATTGATCGAATGATTAAACATCTACGACGCAAGGATATAACATCGGTGACGGTACAGTGGAGTCACCATGGAGCAGATGAAGCTACATGGGAGTTGGAGTCAGAGATGAAGGAGAATTATCCGCATTTGTTTGATGAAGGTACGTAATTTCGAGGTCGAAATTTTATATAAGGGGATTAGAATGTAACGTTCCCAAATTTTTTTTCTTTTAAGTATATATTATTTATTTATTGTGATGACCTTGTGGGCGGGTGTGCCGTGGGCGGGTGCGAGAGACACTGTCAGGCTACCACATTGGCGAGTTACGGGTGCACAGTCCCACATCGCCTGGGTAGAGGAAATGTGAAGTGCTTATATGTAAGTGGGTCATCTCCAATTGGTATGAGGCTTTTTGGGGTAAAACCCAAGAGCAAAATTGTAATGACCCACTCCACCACATGGTACGATATTGTCCGCTTTGGGCTTGAGCCCGCACGGTTTTACTCTTGGGTTTTACCCCAAAAGACCTCATACCAATTAGAGATGACACACTTACATATAAGCACTTCACCTTTCCTCGATTTGTGCGTGTCATCCTTCGGGGACATCCGATAAAATTGGAACGATATAGAGAAAATTAGCATGGCCCTTGCGCAAGGATGACACGCACAAATTGAGAAATGGTCCAAATTTTTTATTGTGATGACCTTGTGGGCGGGTGCGAGACACTGTCAGGCTACCACACTGACGAGTTACGGGTGCACAGTCCTACATTGCCTCGGTAGAGGAAAGGTGAAGTGCTTATATGTAAGTGTGTTATCTCCAATTGGTATGAGACCTTTTGGGGTAAAGCCCAAGAGCAAAACCGTGCAAGCTCAGGCCCAAAGCGGACAATATCATACCATGTGGTGGAGTGGGTCGTTACAAGATGTACATTTAATGTGATTGTGACTGGGGGAATATCTATTAAATGGGATGATTCCAAGGGTGATACTCTCTCTCTCTTGGCAGATTACTTCTATCTTCCTGCATGATAGGTCAAGACAACTATGGCTCTTGAAAAGTGATGCTACCTCTCGACGATCCTCGGATCTTAACCACCAGGCCAATATTGGTCCTATTGTGTTTCATGACAAATCATCGTGGATGGCGACCTCCATGGTTGCTCATAGTTTCTTTAATTCATCATCTAGACTTAAGGAGTTCCTCGAGGGCCTTATGTCTGTCCACAAGGTATACCCGTAAGGAGGGATTCCTCAAGGGTCTTTCATTATTCCTCAAGGTTTACCCGTAAAGAGGATTTCCTCGAGGATCCTCCTATATTCCTCAAGGTTTATCGATAAAGAGAAGCTCCTAAGGTTCTTCCATTATTCCTCAAGGTTTATTGGTAGGAGCTCCTCTAGGTTCTTCGAGGGCAGGACCCGGGAAGGCCGCACAACCCTAGGCCCTATCCATTCGAGGCTTATCCATAAGAGGAAGTCCTCATGTTTATGTGCCAACATCGAGACTTATCCATGGAAAGGAAGTCCTTGATTTATAACAAGGTGCCCGCTCTCGGAGACTTCGGGTTCCTCTTTGGAGCTTCTTCCTCAGTCTTCCCTTGGAGTTGTACTTGTTTCACTCAAGTCAAGATTAGTATTTTAGATCAGGTGTATCCATCAAGGGCATCCTCAAGAGGATCATAGTCGCTATTATTGATATTATAGTTATTATCTTACCATCGTCACCATATGTGAGTCAACAAAAGTCAGCTCCATGCGGCAGTCACACAAAGGGAATCAACATCATGCTAGCGATCCTTTAACCAACATTGAAGCCAATAATTACTTAACATAATTCGCAATTGGCCTTCTCTTCTTCCTATGAGCATATATTACATAACATGTATATTTGTAGGAAATCATAATTCATGAACAGTCTTGGAGTATGCTCACACTATCTTTTTGGCAACAGGTTGTTCAGTGGAACTATGAGAACCCTTAACTTTAATTAAAATTTTATAGTGTAATTTACACCGACCATCCTTGAGGTTTGGCAAAACTATATGGACCTCCTCTAAGGTTTGAGAAATTACACTGACCCTGAAAACGAATAGGGAAGTTAGTGAAAATTTTTAAACCATGAGACAGGTCCATGTAATTCTTGTCAAAGATAAGGGGAGGTTCATGCAATTTAACCAATAGTAACCAGCAGCATAAATTTTACAGCAAATTCAAAACCAATTTGAAGAAGAATTTTTTTGGGTCATTTCTTTCAAGACTTGAGTCATATTAACATGTGAAAAATAGTTTGTTTTTTTTTAAAAAAAGAAAAAAAAAAAAAAAAAGTGAAAAATAGTTATCAAAAAAGAATATTAACATGTGAACAATGAAGAATGAATACAGACGCGGGACATAGGGACGGCACAATACAATATAAAAAATGGATTTTTATCAATTTTATCCACAATACCATGAATGTAATCGGTAATTTGTTCATAAATAAGGTATTGAGCATTTGTTTTTGTTTTTTAAACTTCATAATATTTTTCTATTAACCCATAATTTTTTAAAATTGCATTGAAACCCCTTCTCAAAAAATATTGCAAAACTGCAGTGACTATCCTGCAAGTGTCCCCGCTGTGTCGTTAACGTGTCCTCACCATGTCCAACCAAAAGAAGAAGAAATGATGCAAACTCTAAGATACTTCCGTGTCAGGGCATGTTCGACACCGCCACGGAACCCTCTAGGGAGTGTACGTTCTTTCTAGAATGTAAATATGCAATGATGTGCTAAAGCACTCAGCATTTATAATGACCAATAAGTTGATAGTGTACAACATAGACATTGCCTTAATACCCAATAAGATAAAGACATGCAAGCCCTGAGTTGAGCTACTGAAATTTGTGTGTAAATGAATAGAAAGAAGAAGAAGACTGTTAATATTTTTCTTTTTCTTTTTCAATTTCATCCCTGAAATCTAGAGATAGTACTGAAAATGCTGAGGCATGAGATATCTACCATGGAGAAAAGAACATAACAAATGATTTTATGATATAATCTGAAAAGTACAATCTTCTACTATACTTCAAAATGTAATTGAGTCCACATATCAAACACCTTACAGGCATTGTTCTTATTAGTGAATTAAACCGCAAATTCACATATACCCAACTTGTAAATTCAACACCAAGAAATTCGAGACAGCAAAATCATGGATTTTTATTGCAACAACTAATATATGGCATATATGTCTAAGTGCGTGTATTTTGTATGTATGCACCGAATTTACTACATAATCGCAGTTGTAGAAGAAACTGACAATTGGGTTTCAAGATTACCTGCTTGCTCGAACGTTGAACGATAAGGATTAAATTCTTCTCGATGATTGAGTGCGTCGAACCAAGCCTTCTCTTCTGAGACTATGCAGTTGAAGAAAGACTGTTAATTCACCTTAGTATGTGTGTGAGTGAACAAGGTTAATTCACCTTCCTGTAAATATTTTACAAAACTTCCTTCTCTTTCCCCTTTTTTTTTTTTTTCGGAAATTAATACTAGTATTTTACATAACAACTTCTTCCGTTTTTTTCTCTCTCTCTCTTAATTTACTTCTTTTTTGTACCATCATTTATTTTATTTTCAATAAACCAAAAGACTTTTATTGGATTTGGTTATAAGTACAATAAACACATATACACTAACAGAACACGAAGGTATGCTTGCTCACTGTGATACGACAAATCAAAAAATATGACATGCAAACATCAAAAAAAAAATCATAATATAATATATTATTAAATATAGTAATAATAATTTTTGCTAATTATTCGTATAACCATCAATGAAATCGTTAATTTGAAAATTAGATATAATATTTCTTTTTTTTTTCCTTAAATTTTATATTACGCTTCTAATTAATTCATAATTTATTATAAATTATAGAGAATTCTATTTTTCTAATAAATAAATAAATTATAAAACTATTCTTGTTGTAAAGTATTCAAAATGTATCATTGCAGTCTTCATGCGGTATCCCACGTCCAACCAAAAAATAAGATATAGAGTATTTAAATTTCAAAAAAATTTAACCTATCTAACACGTGTTCAAACTTTATCCGTGTATCTAAAACATATTTGATAATGCTAAAAAAAATTTGCTTCCTAAGTTCCCATTATATAATATCCATTTGGGTTCCATAAATATTATATTAGGTGCATATAGATTTTACATGAAATTCACATTTATTCAAAATAAGTAAAGAAGTAATTCCAATAATTCATAAATGAATTGGACTCATTAAATTTGACGGGTATATTGAGTATATATATATATATAATTACCTTTTGTACACTTAAATCATATCATTGGTCATAATGTTTGGGGGCGGAAAAAATTTCTTGGTGAGTAATAGATTATTACCCTAGAAATCACATTACCTGTATGTTATGAATATCATAAAATTAAGGAATTTTTACATATAAAGCCATATTTACTCAGGGATGGAGTCAAAGTCTTATATTTTCACAAAAATGAGTTTGACCTAAATGATGACATGGCACATGAAGTTTTACTGTTTAAAATTTTTGTTACCTAAAATGCCCTTCTCCCTATTCCAATGCATTTACCTTATCACCCTTGTTTAGAAAACGTGGTATCTGGAGGCCAAAAAGTTGTACCTTCAGTTCAAAAACGTGGTACCTTTAGAACAAAAGTGGTATCTTCGTAAAAGGGATTTATTTTTGCAATTGAAAATGACATTAAACCCCACACCGCTAATTAAGTTGCACTTTTCATCCATAAACAGCTCCATTAGTGCCATGAATAACACAAAATATTCTCCAAACTAGCTAAACGAGTGTTTAGAAAACATGGCACTTGAAGGCCAAAAAGTGGTACCTTCAGTTCAAAAACGTGGTACCTTTAGAACAAAAGTGGTACCTTCGTAAAAGGAACTTATTTTTGCAATTGAAAATGATATTAAACCCCACACCGTTAATTAAGTTGCACATTAGATCCATAAACAGCTCCATTATCGCCATAAATAACACAATATTCTCCAAGCTAGCTAAGTGAGTGTTTACGAAACATGGTATCTGGAGGCCAAAAAGTGGTACCTTCAGTTCAAAAATGTGGTACCTATGGGAAAAAAGTGGTACCTTCGCAAAATGGACTTATTTTTGCAATTGAAAATGGTATTAAACCCCACACCGCTAATTAGGTCGCACATTACATCCACAAATAAATCAATTAGTGCCATAAAGAATACAAACTATATTCCAATCTAGCTGACTTGAGGGAATGAATAGTAAAAAATATACTCCAAGATCACTTGGAACATTGTTTATCTGCTAATTTTTTTTTTTTTTTAATTCTACAATATATCGTAAACACAATTATTCTCTACTTGATAGGTAAAGAAGCTACTTTTAAGCCAATTCCATAATAGAATAGTACCTGCAACCCAAATTATCGTTCAGGAGGTGCGCTTGGTTCTTACAAAATAGGAACTTACCTCCACAAATTAATATAAGAGCTGTCGAAATTAGGGTTAGGGCTTTAAGCTTGTAAGGAGTAAGATCAAACAATGGTGAAACCTCGCAAAAAGTTCTCTTTACCTGATAAGTGCCCTCAGTTCTTCAAAGTTTTTCTCCCGGAACTAAATCCGTTCATCAATTAAAAAATTCATTAATGTTAATCAATGTCTATTACTACAACAAAAAATTCATTCTACAATTAAAAAATTCACCATTTATCAATTTTCTACTCCAATTGACCATTTATCAATGTTCCAAAATAGGAATTAAATCCATTTGTCAAGAAAATCATTAATTTCCTAACACGGCTGTTAAAAAATTTATAAACCTTCTTATTAAATAGAAGAGCCTAACATGTATTTATTAAATAGAACAATCAAAATCCATTACTTTTCATTAAATCAAAACCATCAATTGAAGTACCATGTCTACAAAATACTTTAAGTCACCACGAATGTCAAAAAAGTTATCATCCATCCAATCTAATAAAGTTAACAAGAAATAAAAAACTAAGTCACTAAATTTAAAGGAAGCAATCATCTTTTGCAAAATAAGAACACAATTATTAAGTTTGAACATTTATTAGCCTCCACTCGTCCATACAAAGTCTTGATTGCAATATTAGCCCCCACTCATCCATACAAAGTCTTGATGGCAAGAATCGATCCTCCAATCACACTGTCAAAAAAAAAAAAAAAAAAAAAGGTTACTGCATTTAATTGTATCACATTAACGAAAAAATTAACCAACCTTAAAGAAGTAGGCGAAACGGAAAAGGTGAAGGAGAGGAACTGAAAACGTGGACGAATTTTCAAACTCTTAAACAAAATGAAAAAATATAATTAAATGCATAAGATGAGGCATTCCAGAATTTCTAGACTATGGCATTCCAAAATTTCAATAACACATCAGTATAATTATAATTGTATGTAAAGAAAAATATAATTCTAGACTGGGGCATTCCATAATCTCAATAACACGTACATTAATCTCTTTAAGTTATAATGTATAAGATGTATGTTTGAATTCATGATAATCATTCTATTCTCATCATACAGTTAATATATATATATATATATATATATATATATATATATATATATATATATAAGTAGCATCCTACAATTAATTAGGACCCAGATCTATATCAAAATTCTAAATGGTCTTCATGTATGAGAGGTCTAAAGACCAAATTGTCTCCCTATTATCATTGAAAAGTTCTAAAGATTTAATTATGACCCAGATCCATATCAAACATGATCTTTGGATACCATAATTTTTTTAACAATTGCATTATTGAAATAGTTATTCAAAAGTCCCAAACAGCCTTGCAGATTAAAATGGTGCGAAAAAAAAAATCTACCATACCAACTATTTAGATGTAGTATATGATAATTAAGAAATATTTGTGTTATTTATGGCGCTAATGGAGCTGTTTATGGATCTAATGTGCAACTTAATTAGTGGTGTGGGGTTTAATATCATTTTCAATTGCAAAAATAAGTTCCTTTCACGAGGTACTACTTTTGTTCTAAAGGTACCACGTCTTTGAACTGAAGGTACCACTTTTTGGCTTCCATGTACCATGTTTTCTAAATACTCGCTTAGTTAGCTTGGAGAATATTTTGTGTTATTTATGGCGCTAATGGAGCTGTTTATGGATGTAATATACAACTTAATTAGCGGTGTGAGGTTTAATGCCATTTTCAATTGCAAAAATAAGTCCATTTTATGAAGGTACCACTTTTGTTCTAAATGTACCACGTTTTTGAACTGAATGTACCACTTTTTGGCCTCCAGGTACCATGTTTTCTAAACAAGGGTAATAAGATAAATGCATTGGAATAGGGAGAAGGGCATTTTAGGCAACAAAAATTTTAAACAGTAAAATTTCATGTGCCATGTCATCATTTAGGTCAAACTCATTTTTATGAAAATATAAGACTTTGACTTCATCCATGAATAAATATGGCTCCCTAATTCCATTTATATGTAAAAATCCCTAAAATTAATGTCTCAAAACCTTTATGTTATGAATATCATAAAATTAATGTCTTGATTTTTTTTTTTTTTTTTTTTTTTTTTTTCACAAAACAAGAAATGTTAGAAGTTAGATTAGTAAATGCAGAGAGTCGAAACTTGATACTCCAAAATTCACCAGGTACGAATCTATTGGACTATTGAGACATTTGCAATGTCTTAAAATTAGAATTAGAAAAAATTTAGTTTAAATTTGAAACTATATTTTTTTTTTTTGAATTATAATTCTAGATACTAATTTCACGCAACCCAACATATATACTGTAGTTATTTGATGCGTAATTGTGAGAAAGTATTATTGAAGGACATCTTTTCAAATGGTTAAAAAAAACTCAAATGTATATATAAATATATATAATTTCAGGAGGTTTGTTCATCATAAACCCAATGGTCTCTTCCCTTAGAGGGAGGACTTCGGCTAACCAAAAAGATAAAAAATAAAATAAAATAAGAATCAGTCAATTACATCGTAATTTTAATAACTTAACACAAATATAACCTACCAACATCACGAAATGATGTAATTTTTTTTTTTTTTTTTTTTTTTGTCTCACCAAAGCACAAAAAATGATATAATTGACTGATTATTATTATTATTTAAAAAAAAAAAGGAAAAAAAGAAAAGAAATAAGAATCAGTCAATTACATCATCTTTTGTGTTTTGGTGAGAAAACAAAAATTACATCATTTCGTGATATTGGTAGGTTATAATTGTGTTAAGTCATTAAGATATGTTAAATAAGTCAATCTGAGTATGATCCATTTATTAATCGAAACGTTTTAATAAATAAGTGATGTAATAACTTATTCAGTAACTATGTTTATTAATTAAGTATAAACTACAAATATAATAAAATAAATTGTAATAATAGATGACTAAATCCATGAAAATGAGAATAATACAAGTATATAAAGGTTTGGCATTCTTGTTTCATTGTTTGGCTCATTTGAGTTCCATAACTTCATATGGACTCATTTTGGTGCCTTAAGGATGACGTACATCGATAGAGGTCACCTCCCTTCTTTTGCTTCGGCATTTTGGATCCGTTTCGGGTCATCACAGGACACACTGAGTTGAAAAATCCAGAGTCGTCACATTACC